GATATGGGGAGGTTGGGCCGGGGAAGAAAAAGCAGCGGCGGAGAAAGGTGGTGGGTGAGGAGGAGCAGGAGGAGGAAAACGGTGGTGGAAGCGAGAGACAGCGCGAGCACCCTTTCATCGTGACAGAGCCTGGGGAGGTGGCACGTGGCAAAAAAAATGGCCTTGATTATCTCTTCCACTTGTACGAGCAGTGTCGTGACTTCTTGATCCAAGTCCAGAACATCGCCAAGGAGCGAGGAGAAAAGTGTCCCACGAAGGTACTAATCCCCTACTAAACACTATTGCTTAACATTCGTGTATATCGACCGTGATTCTATGATCTGAACCGTCCATTGGGGGGACCCACTGGCTCCTGCTGCAAAGTTTTCGAGCACGTGCCAGGCTGACACGTGAGGCATGAGCACCCTAAGCATGGGCGGCATCGCCCCTATTGGAATCTTTGAAATCGGCCAGTGAGGTTGGGGGGAGGGTGGTAGCCAGCTGTTCCAAAGAAAGCGTGACAAGTCGCGCCACGTACGGAGGCCAGTGGGTCCCATCAACGTGGCCGTAAATTGCAGAGAGTCCTTTGGTTGGGGTGGTCGTTTTAATTGTTACCCTTGTCGTTTTAATTATTTGCTGTCAAAAGTGTTTGGTTTCATTTTTCTCACCGTACGCTGAAGTGTCGAGTTCTGGTTTTGACAGCTTCTTTATTGTAACGATATAAACAGACTCAACTCTTTTGCATTTTGGGTTTTGATGAGTCTCCTCACCATCCTAAATAAACCCACTGGTCAATCTGGTCTCTTCATGACTAGGATAAGATAATTCTCAATTCTCAACCTAATAATTAATCGGTATTTGATTAAATTTTTGTAAATCTAAAAAATAAAGTTGACAACTAATTAATGTATGAATACACAGGTGACGAACCAGGTGTTTAGATATGCAAAGAAAGCTGGGGCGAGTTATATAAACAAGCCAAAAATGCGACACTATGTGCACTGCTATGCTTTACACTGTCTTGACGAGAAGGAATCAAATGCGTTGAGGACAGCATTTAAGGAGAGAGGAGAAAATGTAGGGTCGTGGAGACAGGCGTGTTATAAGCCTCTTGTCGCCATTGCAGCACGCCAAGGTTGGGACATTGATGCCATTTTCAATGCACATCCTCGTCTTGCCATTTGGTATGTCCCCAACAAGCTTCGCCAACTTTGCCATGCCGAGCGCAATAATACTGCCATTGCTTCTACCTCCGCGGCTGCTCATCATCTTCCATTCTAATGCTTTTATTACATACAGATCGGGCTGTAATAGTTCTAGTGGATATGGAGTATGTAATGGTTCAATTAACATCCCTATAGTAATAATCATAATAGTATTTACTTTATACTATTTGTATTCCATGCTTTCAATGTTGGTAGCTAGCTATTTACTGTCTACTTTTTCACTTCCCTCTGGCCCCTAATATTTTAACAATGGAATCATGACACTCTGGGATTATCAAATATCAGGTTCCTGCTGCCTATTACTGAGCAGCACAAAACAAGAAACAAGATGCATAAATGTGTTTACGTTTAGTTAAAATAAGATAATGGTTATGCAATAACAAGAAACAAGTCATGGAACTGCGTTTAATCACTAGAAGAAAGTATAGAAGTTAGGAAAGAGAAAAAGAATAACATACATTTATATTTTGTTTTTCCCATGGTGACGGATCTTCAATCCTTGTGCACGTGAAAATAGAACTAGAAGCTTTTTCATTTTGATTCCTCAGTCTGCAGGGAGGATGCAGTATTGTATTTGAATAGCATCTTATCCCAAGTGCTCTGAGCTTCAGTAACTTTTTTTATCACATTTGCTACTTTGTCCACACTAACATGGATTTGAACTTTGCTGTCCCTCTCCCGGATTGTCACTGAGGAAGTTGAATCAACCGTGATGGCAAATGGAACTCCGAGTTCATCTGTTCTTGCATATCGCTTGCCTATTGATGTACCTGAGTTTCAAGTAATGTATCTCAGCAAATGAATGTTCATCTTAATGAAATAATGACAGTTTGCATATTTTGACATTAGCATGGAGACATCGCTTCACCTCTTCACCATATAAATTTGTTGCAAATGTGATGGTAGAAGCAGGGACAGATGGGCCTTCCTTAAATCTATGCTTATTTCTAACCATAAACAGCTCCATCTCTAATTGTGCATGTCTTAACAAATTCTACCAGGAATGGGTAGATGACGGTTTAGGGACCAGTGTGGGATTAACCTGTAAATGCAGCTCAGTTCACGATTACTGAAAAGTAGAGTTTATGACTGAACGTTTGAAAAACTGCCCTAGACTTCTGCACTGCATGTCTACTTTAAAGGCAAAAAAATTCAAAACCCTTGCGATAATATGATCTAGACCAAGGGATTTACAGACACAGGGCCAAAAAGACAATGTTCAGTTCCACTGGGCTCTATAATGCAGGCCTCTTTGACATCATAGTGGTTTGAAATTAGACCTCTTTAATTTTTGCCAAATTACTTGAATGAACCCGCTTATCAATTGACCAAGAAAAAAGTAAAAATTGTGAACAAGGAAAAAGAAATGTTAAGGGTGGTCATATATTCTTCAAGTTGCATACCTGTCACATCAATCTTATAGGAGATTCCAGCAGCAGTCAATGATTTAGCAATGTGTTTGGCAACTTCCTCATATTGTTGATTCTGTACCAGTGGGAATACAGTGCATTTGATAGGTGCCACAAGTGGAGGAAAGCGGAAAACATTTAACTGTTCATCTCCACCCTTGCTAGGCCTGGTGTAGAAACAATGCTCATAAAGACAGTAGATTATCCTCCCAATACCAAATGATGGTTCTATCACTGATGGTGTGAAAACCCTCTTGTGTTCCTTCTTTTTCTCCTTGGAGATATGCACCATGTTTTTCTTTACTGTGACATACTTCCCAAGAGTACAGACATAGATCGGCATTTCTTCCTTGGACTCCAGATAACTTTTCATTTCCATTGCTTCCTTTTCACTCATGGCCTGCATATAACAGGTAAAAGAGTGGCTTTGCTCGATCTTCAATTTTCATGAGAATTAAAAACTGAAACAAAAGCAAAATTTAGAATCTATAGGCTTTTATTTGTACATGAAAATATTTTTATTATTTTTCAAATTTCATATATTTATATTTTAAGCATGTGGGGTATTTGAAAATGAAAATAATATTGAGAAGATGATGGTAACATTGCAGCACGAATTTGAGGGAATAAATATTTATTCTTAATGTTTTCAGGAAACAGACATTTGTTTATACTTGACTATCACACAAACACATACCATAATACATGTTTTTATGTATGTAACATATATATATATATATAAGTTTAGGAAGTGATTTTATGAAATTCTTTTCATGTTTATAACTTTTTGGCAAAAGGAGTTCAGTGCTTAGTAGATACTCTTCTTCTAAGGTGCTGTGCATACAAATTAAGGAAGAAATAATCTTTATTTGCAGTGGAAGAGAAGTTCAGAACAGAGAGCTTAACTGTGAATTTTTTTTTTAAAAAAGTACCCTAATTTTCTAATGTTAGGTTGAGCTTTTGGAATGCTACCACAATTCACTGCAACAAATAGCAAAAACAAAAGAAAAAGAAAAAGAAAAACAAAGTCAACTACGCAGAATGTACAAACACAGCCTAGTTCTTACCATCTATCATTCATAGACAATCGACAGGAAGGCATCACTTCTGCCTGTGACTGACAGAAGCATGTCTCTCTCTCTCTCACGACC